AAGATTATATTTCATGCAGAAGTCGAGCTGGAAACGACTGCTGGTGTCCTACCTATCTTATTCGTCTGCTTTTCAAAATAAAGACATGGAAAGGAGGGGTGGGAGCGACTAGTTGTCATTTTCAGAACACGATAAACACGACAGCAGCCCATGGCAATACTTCTACCCTCCGGTTTGCACCGAGATCTTCTCGATGAAGCCCCCTGCGTCTCAAATCATGAGCTCTACCGCAGATTACATTTCCAGTTAGCAGCCGACCTAATGACCTCAGAATTTTTTGAAGATCTCACATCGAAAAGTGGGGAGAAAACTAGTCAAAAAACCTCTACCCAACCCACACCACGATTCTAGAGAAAATTAACAGATTATCCGACAATAAAGAACGAAATATGAATGTACCCTCAGACAGAGTGAACATGACAAAACTTAAGCGAGATGAAAGCAAAGCACAGGAACTAACCTGCGACTGCGAAAACCCTCTACCACAATATCCACAAGTGTAAGGCTTCTCTCCTGTATGCACTCTCTCATGGATATTCTAAATACGATAAGCTTACAGTTGAAAACTTCCGAAATATGGAAACAATCGCAAATGGAACATCACGAGTATGATTACCTTATCTCTCCTGTGATGGAACATTTTTTCACAGTATGCGCACTGCCACCGGAATGGCCGATCAGTATTGACGAAATCGCCGTTCAGTACAGCCAAACATGTGTTCTAGATGAAAGCACGGATGACAGCGACGAAACCAGTAGTTGTTTATCACGTACCTCATGCTCAGCAAGGGCGCCCATAGATTTGAACCACCTTCCACAGATTTGACAAAAGTGGCGATGACCTGTCATGTGCATTTTCATGTGCAGGGATAAGGTATATGCACGACAAAAGCTTTTCGTACACACCGTACATCGATAGGGACGAGGACCTGGAAAAAGAGAACAGTGCAGGTACATCTGTAATGGCCAGAAGGATGGCTATGCTCCATGAGCAACATTAAAACGTGACCGGACCCTCTCAGGCCTCATGGCTTCTCAATTCTTCTGAATAATGGGATAAGAACCTACTATACAATGATCTGCGAAATACAGTCGCGGCAAAAAAACTAGAAGCCCAAGTCGCGCGCTTTTTAACAGTTTACATACAATTTTTAATTGCACATGAAAACTTTGTTTGCTCAAATCAAGTACGCCTTAAAATGCTATTCTAAAAATAAAGTTGTTGATTAAATTCGTTACCGGGACAGAATTTTGAAGATTATTGCGATGCGGCATGCCGCTGCCACTCTGATATTGGACCGGTTTTCAAAGTTTCTAATGCTTTGGGAACAACATAGGTTTTCGAGAGTTGTAAAAAAGAAATGGAAGAAGGGAGCGAACACTCCAAAAAGGTGTAATCTTCTTCCGATGGGTCGCCAGGCATTAGGAACTTTGAGAACAGCGCAGGTACATCTGTAATGGCCAGAAGGATGGCTATGCTCCATGAGCAACATTAAAACGTGACCGGACAATCTCAGGCCTCATGTCCTTCTCAGTTCTTCTGAATGATGAGAATAAAAACTACTGTACAATGATCTTGGCTGAAATATCAGTCGCGGCAAAAAAAAAAAAACTAGACATGCCCAAGTCACGCGCATTTTAACGGTTAACCATACAATTTTTGAATTGCACATGAAACCTTTGTTTGCTCAAATCAAGTACGCCTTAAAATGCTACTCTGAAAATAAAGTTTTGTTGGATATATATTCGTGTACCGTGACAAAATTTTGAAGAATATTGCGATGCGAGATGTAGCTGCCACTCTGATATTGGACCGTTTCAGTTTCTAATGCTCTGGGAACAAAGGTTTTTCGAGAGTTGTAAAAAAAGAAATGGAAGAAGGGAGAGAACACCCAAAAAGGTGTAATCTTCTTCCGATGGGTCGCCAGGCATTAGGAACTTTGAAAACTGGCCCAACATCACAGTGGCAGCGACATGCCGCATCGCAATAATCTTCAAAATTCTGTCCCGGTAACGAATCTAATCAACAAACTTTATTTTTTGGAATAGCATTTTAAGGCGTACTTGATTTGAGCAAACAAAGTTTTCATGTGCAATTTAAAAACTGTTGTGAAACTATTAAAAAGCGCGCGACTTAAGCTTGTTCCATTTTTGCCGTTACTGTATATCCTTCCCATATACGGGGCGGGCGGGCAAGTTCCGTGACTGTAAATGTGCGTCACGTTTCTCACGCAGAACAGCGCCAATATGAAACCGGATAGTTGCGCTCGCTTGGTGTTGTCGGTGCTTGCCATTTAATAAGAGGAAGCAGGTCCAAGACATGCAATACACCACACTACCGGCGTCCTCACCGCAGCCACTACTTGCCTGCACCCTTTCACGTATGGTTAATGTCGAATTGTTCTCCACGGGTATGTGACGATAGTACCACGCGACGTCGCGCGCGAAAATTGCAAATACCGTACGGTTACGGTCGGTACGCGCTCGCGATCTTTTTATTATCGCGAAAGTGACATCTCGGTGCGACGCGACAGTGACATTTCGACGCTATTTTTTCGAAAGGATAGTCCGTCAATTTCCGAGAATACGCCAAAAAGATACAGTCTGAGAGTGTGCTGTCCAGAAAGATTTGTGGCTGCCAAATATAAGGTGTCGGCTAGTAAGCTGAACTAACTCGCGAGCAGAATCTGTGCAGGCTTCTCCGCACCATTACTGCTATGTAGTCTCTATAGTTATGCAAAAAAGCAAAATCTAAAGGCTATGAGAATCCAGATCCTACCAGAGTGAAGAGCGCGGCCGAAAACTGAAGAGAATACAATCTAATTCAATAATGCAACGATTTTAACGGTGAGCGCGAGCTCCATTGTAAGCCCGCGGTGTTTGCAGATTGCCGAGCACACGACTCCCGTGGTCCTAAAGACCGTCTGCCGTTCTCCACATCCCTTCTTCAGCGGCATGCCAACACATTTGCTGTGGGACTTGGAAGGCCAGGTCCACAGTGTTGGTAAGACGCCTGTGTGTTTTGGCATCATAGTATATCAAACAGTGGGCGGAAACTTGAGGAATGTCAAACTACCACAGCCCTTGAGCTTCATTTCAGCGCATTCCAAAATGCTCCCGAGGCTGAGTACGAGTACTCAGCAGCGGGAGCATATCACTATCCACAAAAAGAAGGATAGAGGGTTGAGGTAAGTTGCAAGACAATGGTTTACCTGTGTGATAGCGCA